GTCCCATGATCCTCCAAGTACTGCACCCTAAACCGACAAGTAGATGTAGGTTCGCAGCTGAGGTTCCCGGCGTTAAGGGTTCAGGGTTTAGGGATTTAGGGGTTTAGGGGTTTAGGGGTTTAGGGGTTTAGGGGTTTAGGGGTCTAGGGTCTAGGGTCTAGGGTTTAGCGTCTNNTTAGGGTTTGGGGTTTAGGCCCTAAAGGTTAGGGTTTCTACAGTGAAATTCTTTGCGGCTGGGCCCCGGGCACACCAGGTACTTGCCGAAGTCGGCGGCAATAGCAGGCAGAAAGCAATTTATGCCTCCGTCACGGCTTCACACTGTGGCGACTGCGTATGTGCAAATTGCCACGAAACTCAAGTCCCACGTTTCAGGGTACTGAAATGCTCATCAGCAGCAATCTACTGGGTTGTAGTTTTGGGGCCCTGACTGTATTTATGAATAGGTACCTCTATAGAAACCATAAGGGAAATCTTAAAGCTTCCCAAATTGCCACCTAGTCTATAAGACCCATAGTTGGGGTTTAGGTACTGAATCACGAACATAGCGCGACATATCCTTCCTCCAGAGCTGGGGGGTGCTGAAACACGGACGGCAATGCGAGACTCAAAAAGAACAAACTCGGGTTTTTTTGGCTTCTCGTATAAACCCCTCTTGTAGGCTTTGTAGGGGTTTGTTGGTTTCAGAAGAACTGGTTGATCTTTTTGGATTCTAAGCAGGTGTCCCCGAGGTTTGGCAGGCATTGTACAGAACCCCTGACTTAAGGAATATAGCTTAAATCATAAGATGAAGCCCCTTACAAGTTAAGGTTCTATAGGGGCCTAAATAATTACCAATATTATTTTGGAGGGGTCCTGATTTTAACGATAGTATAAACAACCCCAAAACCCTATTCTAATGATTAAGGCCCCTATGTTACACTCCTGAAGTAGAGAGAATTCGGCTCCCTGCGTTAAGGCTTAGTTTAAGTTTGGGGTTTAGGGTTTAGGGTTTAGGGTGTAGGTAGGTAGTTTAAGGCTAACCCTAAACCCTAAACCCGAAACCCTAAGGTTGGGGGTTCTCCCGCCTGCGATGAGCGCGGCGCGGAAATCCTTCACCAAGGACAGGGAGCCCATAAGCACCGCGGCCACAACCTTTTCAGGTTTGGGGTTTCGGGTTTAGGGTTTAGGGTTAAGGATTTCGGGCCCTAAACCCTAAACCCCAAACCCTAAACCCTAATTTAGGGTTTAGGGTTATCTTTGGTAGAGGCATTGGGAGTGACTCAGAAACTCCATGAAGTACCTACATGCACGGTCGAGGTGCCTGGCTAGGACCCCGACTGAGAGAGAAGTCTAAGCGAGATCATTGGTCCCAAGGGTTTAGGGTCACGTCGCGACTATGAGTTTGCTTCCCGTCCTGAGACTGACCCTAAACCCTAAACCCTAAACCCTAAACCCTAAACCCTAAACCCTAAAACCCTAAACCCTAAAACCTAAACCCTAAACCCTAGACCGTGTAGCACTGAAGGAGCCAACTCTGCATGAACCGTACGCCGTACACCGAAAGGCGTGCCGGCTCCCCGTGAAGTCCGTTAGTGATGGGTTTAGGGATTCAGGGGTTTAGGGTTCAGGGCTTTGGGTTTAGGGTTTAGGGTTCAGGGTTCAGGGTTTAGGGTGTAGGGCTTCTTTACAGCCCTAAGCACTGGTC